GGAGGAGGAGGCAGAGGAGGAGGAGGAGGATGAGGAGGAGGAGGAGGAGGAGGAGGAGGGGGAGGGGGAAGGAGGAGGAGTAGGAGCAGCAGGAGAAGAGGAGAAGAGGAGAAGGACGAGGGGGAAGGAGGAGGAGGAGGAGCAGGAGGAGAAGGAGGGAGGGGGGGTGAGAGCCACCAGGCCGCGGTGGCTTCCGCGGCGAGGCTCGGGGTGCGGGGGGCGTTCGCCGGGGACCTGGTCGGGCCCCACGGGGGGGCCACCCCAGAACCGAACCGACAAGTCGGACCGGCGATCGAAGTGGATCGGGTCAGCGGACATCGGCAGCCGAGTCGGGGAAAGTCGAATCGGCGGAGATCAGGAGGCCAGCATGCCTCCACGGAGACAGCGGAGCCCAGCGTCGGAGTCCCAAATCGAATCGAAGGGAAAGCGGAAGCCAGCGAAGCCGAATCGAAGCGGAGGCATCGAGGCTAGCCCTGGACAGGGGGAGGGGCATCGAAGCCCCCCGGGCCCAGGAATCATGAAGGGGCCCTGGGACACACAAGCAAAGACACACAAATACAAGGATTCCCTATATTTTCCCATATTTTCTGGGTTTCTGCTCTCCCGCCCAACTCCCATATTTTCCCATATTTTCTGGGGGATCGACGATGAATTGTGTCTGTGTGTTTTTTCCCTCCTGAGAATCACCAGACCCCGCGGGCCCAGTCACACACGGCCGGCAGCCCAGGGGCACCTCGGCTCAGAGGCCGACGACCAAGACGAGGACTTTGACCGCAACATGGGATTTCGCCTCGGGTCGGGCGCGCAGCACGCGGGCCACGCCAAACACCAACGGGATGAACTCCCAGCAGGCACGGAGCCGACGCCCACAATCCGCGCCACGCACGAGGGAGTCTATGACGAAGCCGACGACAGCGACGAGGCCGAGGAGAAGGAAAAAAAGAGGACGAAGATGAGGAGCGCAGCTGGCTGCAAATCATACTGGCGACGGATATCGTTATACGCGCCATGCGGCTCCGCATGCATCTGGCCGCCTTGAACTTGCATCAAGCATATTGAGTGCCATCGGCATCTGTACCTGAAGGGCGCAGACGGTTGAATTAAGGATCTAACTATTCGAACGTCCCTTCGACCCCCTGGAGGAGACGCTACCTATCCCACATACCCTCGCCTATCGGTCTGGACGAACCTGGTCGCGAGGCGCTAGAACGCCCAAGAATCGATGTTCGAATTTTCGCACGTTTTCGTTTCTGGCAGGCTCTCGAGGCCCCACAAAGGTCCCAATATCGCCCACGAGAGATTCAGAAGGGGCCCAAGGTGGACTCACGAAGCATGACAAGCGCGCGCCAGGCTCGCGCGTCACAATCCTGCTCTGTTTTGGACGGCGAAGGCCCTCGCATCGACGTTTTCGCCGTCGCCGCAGCACCGACGCCAGCCGAGCCCGGCGGCGAGAGGACTCTCTGGCTGGCTGCTCCTAGCCGCGCCTCGCCCAAACCGTGCAGTCTGGCGGCGAAGAAGCATCGCCTGCGCTGCCGGCGGCGGCGCTGTGGGCGGCGGCACTGACTTCTTTGGTTCGCCTCCAGACGGCCCAAAGGAGCCTCCGGACGGCTCTAGAGGCCCTCAAGAGGGCCCTCGAGAGGGCCTCAAGAAGCCGAAAACATTACTTTCCCCTACGGTTTTTGAAAATTTCTCGAATTCACACTCTTTTCCGGACCCAGAAGGGCCCAACACGGCCCACGACGCCCCAAAGCTAACCCCAAGACCGCCCCCGAAGCCCCCCCAAAGGGGCCGAAAACTATCCAGGAGGGCCCCCAGACCCACAGCAAGCGGCGGCGCTGCGCCCCCAACAGCCTGTGGACGGAGTCAGCCCTGCGCCTCGCCCGCTGCCGTCGATGGCTCCGCGGGGCCCACGGCACCACGCGCGTTCCTTCCCGCACGGTTGGGTGGCCGGTGTTCGGCGGGCGACGGGGGTCAGAGCTGCGCGCGGCGCCCGCGTCCGCGGCGCGCGTCGAGGACCCGGTGGGCGCGTGGCCTAAAATGAAGGGGCTGGAAAGTGCGAGCCAGGATTGCATGCCTGGCATTCCCCGTCCTCTGGCAGCGTTGCCGCCGTTTGCAGTCCGAGCGCAGGCAGCGAGGCTCGCGTCTGCAAAACGCAGGGGATCAGCACCCCACCGCGCCATGCCCGATGGGATCTCAAGCGCTGGCCCGAAGCTTCCGCAACAGAAAATCGTGCCAGGGCAGTCCGGATTCAGGGGGCTGCGATTGGAACCCTTTCCTTTCGTCGCCCTTCGCATGCCCGCCAATCGCAAGGGTCGGAACTAGGCCCCCATTTCAGAACGACAAATATCATTCACGCGCGCGTTCCCTGCGGCCAGGCGGCTGAGTCGATGAACCAAGATGACAAAAGCCCATGGTCCATTCCGCGGCCGCTCCGCCACCCCCCCGAAGCCGCGGTGCCCAATCTGCTCCGAGCAAAGCAGAGGTCGGCAGCAAAGGTGGTGCGATGCCTCTGCCCCCCGCGGCCCCTGCTGGTCATTTCCATCTCCGCGCCCTCGCCCACCGCGAACATCCTCGCCCGGGCTGGGCGAGAAGGGAGAGGGGCGCGCGCGGCCGGATGGCTGGCGCAGCCGGCGGCGCCGCCCGCTGCGAACGGCCCCGGCGGGCCGGCGCGGCCAGGGAAGCGCCGGCAGCAATGGCCCCGGTTGTCCGCGTCGGAGCAAAGGTCCAGGCAGACTTGCCCTGCCTCTTCCCCCGGCATGTCCTCGTCGCCCTCGCACGAGACCCCCCTTGCCCCCCTCGCGCAGGCAGGACAAAGAAGGAGAAGAAATCTGCTCATGGCCGCGGCTTGCCTTGCAGCAGCTCGGTTCGATTTTCCGACGCCGGCAGCGACGCCGGGGTCTGTTGGCCCTGCTGGTCGCCGGCGAAGCGCTGGCAGCAGCGGCCCAGGAGCCGCCGGGGCCCTCTGCGGAGCCGCGCGGACCCCGGCAGGGAACTCGCCCCAAGAGTCCAACCGCGGGAATGAGGCTCTTCCCCTGGGGAGCGCGAGCTGCAGCCGGCCTGCCCCCCCCCCGTCAGGAAGGAGGTTAGTGGACTGGCTGCCAGACGGCTGGAGTGGCGGCCCGAGGTGGCGCGGGGGCCCTGCTCGTCCGAAGCGGGGCGGCGCGGCCGGGGTCGCCCTGCCCCCGCCTCCGCCGCGCCCTCCTCGCCCTGTTCGCGGCCGCGGCTGGCGTCGCAGCAACGCGGGCTGGTCGTCGAGCGCCATGGGCGAGGCTGGCGCCTGCCGGCCGCGGCGACAGCTGGCCGGCACGCGCGGGGGCGCCCTGCTGCCGGGGTCCGCCGGCGGCGCGAGGCCCGCGAAGACGCCCCGGGTGGAGGCGCCTGGTCCTTGGGGCCAGGATGATCAAAGCGAACTCGCCCCAGCCCATGTCGGCCGCGCGGCGCCCTCCGCGCGACAGGCCGCTCGGGTGCCCCACTCGGCCCGCGCCAACCCAATGAGGGGCGGGGCAGATCGTTCATGCCCGGACAGGCGCCTGCCGATCTGGCCCCGCGGAGGCGCGCCGCGGCTTGGCGCCGCGACCGCTCGACCGGCACCTTCCTCGCCGCCTGCCACCGCGCGCCCGAGACGCGGGCTCGGGTTCGCCATGTTTCGCGAGGGCAGCTATCCAAGAAACTCTCGGGCGCATCCGCGAGGTGGACGCACTCTTCACCGAAGGCGACCTAGCACGGCGACTGGCCCGGCTGCCGCCCCACGGCGGCGAGGGCCGCCCCGCGGCGCGGCCGGCGCAGGCCGCCGTCGTCGACCTAAACCCACCGCACCTCTCCTGCTTCCCCAGGTGGTTGCGGGAGACGCGTCCGAGCACGCCCGCTGGATGGCTAGCTTTGCCAGTTTGCCCTTGCGGCGCCAGTCGGCGCGGAGCGCTAGTTCCGCGGCTCACCAGGCGCGGGTCGCAGTCGCCGCGGGGAAGGAGCACCACGGCGCACCCCGCCGCGCGCTGCCAGCTCGGGCCACGGCGACCTGGTTCCCGGCCTTCAGACCGAGGCCCGATGCCTTCGCCAGCGCGTAGCCGGCGCAACATGTCGATCAAGGTCGCCACCAGCTCGCGGGCGCGCGGGGCCGCTGCCAGCGCCTCGTGGCCGGTTGGATCCAGCTGCGCGCCGAGCAGGTCGAGGTGTTCCTCGCGCTGGCCCACGGCAACGTTGAGCGCCGCCCCGCTTGCTGCCGTCCTCTTCTGGCCGCCCGTCTCGCCAGGGCCCCCGAGCAAGGCCGCGGCCCCGCCCTGGGCGCCCCGGTCGTCGACGCAGGCGGCCCCGCTGTCAACGCAGGCGCCCGCGCCTACGACGTAGACGGGACAAACAGCGCGCCCGCGAGGATTGCCGCGCCCAGCGAAGGCGGGCTCACCATGAGCCAGGCCGGGCAGCGGCAGGAGCGAGTCGCTGACGCATACGCTCACCTTTGACGACCGCGCCCCGGCTGACATTGTTCACGAAGAGCATCGTGGGGCTCCTTCGGCGTGTGCCGAGAACACGACCACTTGACTTGGACCGCGAGCGCCTGCTGGATCCAGTCGACGCAGTTCGCTGGAGCCTCTCTGCCGCACGTGCAGCGGCGAGCTGTGGAGGGCAGCCTCGTCGATAACGATGCCCGCGGCGGCCAAGATCTCGCGCGCGCCCGCAGGTTGAACCTGGTTGGCTCAGCCCTTGCAAGTGTCGGCCGCCGCCCTGAATCGTCGCGCAGGCGACAATCTGGGCGACGCCGATGGGCTGGCGGTCAAGATTGTCGCCAGTCTCGGGAAGGACGGCCTCCGCCAGGGCCTCGACGGCAGCGGGCCGCGCCCCGGCGCCGCTGGCGGCATTGGCCAGGCCGCCGGGAGGCCCAGCACGACAGCCGGGGTTTCCTCGAGCTGTTCTGCTTTGATCTGCCCAAGACCTGCCGCGGCGCCAGCCCACCAGAGGGCCGACCAGAGGCCCGATGGCCCCGCGGGCTCGACGACGCCCCTCGCCTCGCAAAAAGTAGCCGCCGATCTGGCGCAGCTCCAGCCGCGGGTGCTGTTCCTTATTCCAACGACGAACTGCTGCCGCGACGATGGCCTGTAGAGTGGCCGCGGGCTGTCCGCGCTTGTCTCTGGCCGCTTTCACCGACAGCGGGGGCTCGTCGGCCGCGCGCGTTGTCGGCCGGACCGCAACCTGGCCGGGGCCCTGATCCCAGTCCTCTGGGCGGTCGACCTGGCAGGCGCCCTCGGAGAGCTCGAACTCGGCGTGGCTGGCGGTTTTGATGGCCCAGCGCCACTCGACGAGAGCCTCGGCGGCTGCCGCGCGCTCCACTCGGGAGCGCCAGGTTCTCTCGGGCCCGCTCGATGTGCTCGTTGACCCCCCGGGGCAAGTCGCGGACAGGCTCGAACGCTTTCTCGGCGCACTCGACCTCGCAACTCGGCAACGTAGGCACGAAGCGCTCGCCCAAGGGACGGCGCGCCACGCGGAGCGCCCCAAGGCCGGCGGGCTGCCCAGCGCGGCTTCGACGCGCACGAAATAACTCCCGCAGCTCGACTTGGCCACGCTCTCGGCGCCGAGCTCGACGCCCTTCTCCCCGGCGTTCTCGGACAGCGCGAAAGCTCGACAGCAGCTCGACGAGCTCGTCGAGATTCTAGTCGTCGCCGTCGAAGGCGTCGAACGCGACCTCGGATCTCTCCGACGTACGTCGCCCAGACGATGGCGCCCAACATCTCGCACCGGTGCTTGTTCTCCTCGGCGAAGGCGCCAGCGTGCTCGATGGCCTCGGCCTTGCCCTGCTGGCGCGCCACGTCGAAGATGGTGCCCGGGACGTTCTCGGACCACTGAGCGCTCGTGCCGTGGAGGAGGCTGCTCGTCATCCTCGAAGCGTTCGTTGCCTCGCCACTCGTCTGGCAGCGGCGCATCTCGGCGACGCTGGCATTCTCGACTGGGCGGCCCATCAAGTTGATGAGGACCTCGTCCGTCTTGACCAGCTTGGCGAGGAACTTGCCGAACTTGGTGTTATGAGCCTCGAGCTGCGCCCGCTCGGACGCGTGGCCCTTGGAGAACGCCATGCTCGGCGGCGCGGAGCGGCTCGAAATCGCCACGCTCGGCGGCTGCCCTGGCTGCGCGGAAGAGCTCGGCCCTGAACAGCCTAGAGGGGGGGGGGGGGGGGGGCTGCGGGAGAGAAAACAAAAGGAAGGGGGGGAAGGAGGGGGAGGGGCCGCACGTTCGTGCTGCGCGGAGCTGACGTGGTAAGAACCCCGCGTCCTTGCCACACGCTCGTGAGTTGGGACACCTGAAATGGTGAGAACCTCATGGCCCCTTCGTGACCTGGGAAAGCTGAAATGGTGAGAATCCCCTGAACGTGCCGCACGCGCGTGATTTGGGAACGATAAAATTGAGAACCTCATGGCCCTGCCACACGTTCGTGATTTGGGGAAGCTCAAATGGTGATGATCCCATGGGCCCGCCACACGTTCGTAACCTGAGAAAACTGGAACTTTCAGAATCCAGTGGCCTTCCCACACGTTCGTGACTGGGGAAAACTGAAATTGTGAGAAACCAGTTGCCGTGCCACACGTTCGTGGCTTAGAAATCGCATGGCCCTGCCGCAGGTTCGTAACTTGGGAAAGCTGAAACGGTGAGAACCCCATAGTTTTGCCGACGCTCCTTTTGAAAGCTGAAATGGTGAGAACCCACTTGCCCTGCCACAAGCTCGTGACTTGGAAAAAGTTTATGTGGCTATCATCGCATAGCCTTGCCACACGCGCGTGACTTAGGAAAACTGAAACTGTCAGAATCCCATGGCCCTGCCGCACGGTGACCTTGCGTAATTTGAAACGGTTAGAATCCCATGGGCCTACCACGCATTCATAACCTGGGAAATCTGAAGTGATGACAGCCCCATGGTTTTACCACATGTTCGTAAGTTAGGAAAGCTGATATGATGAGACTCCATATCCTTACCACACGTTCATAATGTTACTCCACATTAAAAGATGGCAATTTCGATTCGTACTTTCTGTGACAATAATGAAGTTCGGTCTCTCCGACCCTTTCCCTCGACCAATTCTGCCTTGGCCTGGGATGATCAACTCTCAGATGTGGGGAGGTCAACCTAATTATCCTAAGCATGCGGTTATGAGGAACCTGAAGCAACACGGGCATCTCGATAGATGCTCTTGACGCCCGGAGGCATGGCCCGCCCTGGAAGATTCCGCCCGCGGACCTGGGCCCAGGGTTTTGGAGAGAACCCGCCCGTGGCCACACGGTCGCCCCTGGAGGCTACAGTCAACCCGCATGGTGAGGATGGGCACCCCTCTCAAGGGTACACTTGCATCCTTGCCTCCTCGGCCCATCTTGAGTCAGTCTCGCTGGCCGCGCCCCGCTCGAGGCACTCCGGCATGGGCGCCCAAGGCCCTTGCGTCCTCGCTGCGCACCCTTCTGATGTGGGCCGACTGCAAGCCAAACCGAAAAGCATCCGAGCACCTCAATCCGTGCATCTCGATACTCCAGATTTCGTAATAAAGGGAGGGGGGTCTCATTTCGGGGGGGGGTCTCTTCCAGGCTATCTTGGAGGGCCGGGGGGTCTGGGGACGATGTTTTGGAGGGTTCTCCCACGGGGGAGGTCTGAAATGGCCTGTCTTGGAGGGTCCAGACCCCCTCCCATTTACTACGAAATCTGGAGTACCCGAGGTCGCCGCCGCCGCTCAAAAGCGGTCCTCGGACGCCTCCAGGGATCCACCCTCACAGAGGAGGAGGAGGAGGAGGAGGAGGAGGAGGAGGAGGAGGAGGGGGAGGAGGAGGAGGAGGGGGAGGAGGAGGAGGGAGGAGGAGGGAGGGGGGGCACGCGGCCGCGGTGGCGACGCGGCTCGAGGAGGCCCCACGCTGGGCAGAACGAGTCTGGAAAATCTGCAGGTCCGCGCACCTCGGCCCTCGGGTCGTCGTCGTCGTCGTCGTCGTCGTCGTCGTCGTCGTCGTCGTCGTCGTCGTCGTCGTCGTCGTCGTCGTCGTCGTCGTCGTCGTCGTCGTCGCCCGTCCTCCTGGCGCGCCCGAGATGCGAATCGAAGAGAAAGGATTGAGCGCGATCTACCGTCGCTTGACTGTAACAAGTCCCCCCCCACCTGTGGGAACCAGGGGGAGGCGGGTGGAGACACGCCCCTCCCCGGACCTCCCCCCCTTCCCGATGCGAACGGGGGGGGGAGCTCGAACAGCTCGAATCGAATCCTGCCACCAGGGCTGGATCTAACCCTCATGGAATCCTACCAGGGCTCACTCAAGCTCCCATAGAATCCCACGCAGACTTGATCCAGCTCTAGTCGAATCCTGCTATAATCGAATCCTACGTAGGCTCGACCCAACTTCACTAGAACCCTGCTACGGGCTGGATCCAGCCAACGCTCACAGGATTACAACTGAATCCGAATGCGGCTGGATCCAGTTAACTATAATCGAATCACACTAAGGCTCGATCGAGCTCCAATAAAATCCGATTGAAGCTCGATCCGATTTCCATAGGATCTTACCATGGGTGGATCCAGCTGTAATGGAATTCTACAAATGCTCGGCCCAGCTCTGATCGAATCCAGCTAGTAGGGTTGGGCCCGATTCAAATAGAATTCTACTGGAGTTCGACCCAACTTGAGTTCGCCGGCCCAATGGGCCAGAGGCGTCCTAAGAACTCCGGCTACTGGTAAACAATTATTTCTAGTTCGCGCGCGCGGGGCGGCTCCTGGGGGTCCCCAGACGAAAAATACCTCGGGCGGTCCGACCCAGAGATGGTTCGTCCTTGGCCCCAAGAGTCCCAAGACGGTCCAAGAGGGCTCCGAGTCGTCGCCCGATCGGTCCAAGACGCCCAAGACATCCTCCAGACGGCCGTCGACGCCGCCAAGACGCCCAAAGAGGCCTCGAAGAAGCGTCTCAAGAGGGCCCCAGGAGGCCAAAACCATCGGATCCCCTTTGGTTTTGAAGGATTTTGGCAGTCTCATCCGTTCGGCTTCATGCAGCTCAAAAACGACCCAAGAGGCCCCAAATATCGCCCCAAGACAGCCCAATATGCCTCTAAGAAAGCCCCAACAGGGCACAAGAGGACCCCCAGACGGCCCAAAAGGCCCCAAGACGGTCCAAGAAGGCCCCCAAACTGCCCCAGAGGCGCCCAAGATCGCCCAAGAGAGCCCCAAGACGGCCCCAAGAGGGGCCCAAGAGGGGGAACAAGAACCACCAATTCAAGCCTTCCGCCCCAACAGACCCTCAGGAGGCCCCAAGAGGCCCCCAAGAGAGCTCAGGAGGCCCCCTGGAAGCCCCACGAGGTCCCCAAGATGCCCCAAAAAAGACGCCAAGAGGCCCCCAAACGGCCCCCACAAGACTCCAAGAGGCCACGAACGCGCAGGCAAACGCCTGCGATGGCACAATACGGGCCGGCGGAATGAGCGAAGCGATTGAATAACATGATTTCAAGGGCTGCATTCAGTTTTGACAAGGTCGTACCATGGTCTGAAAGCAACACTAATCCGCCGATCTGGCGTGTGAGTTTCCAAAAGCTACAGCCTGAGATTCAGCTCTGCTGGGGGGGGCCGGGGGGGCTTTGCCGGGGAAAGGGGGAAAGGGGGGTCTACCATTTCCGCGGGAGGTGCCAGGGTGGCTTTGCCGGGGAAGGGGGACGGGGGGGGAAGCCTACCATTTCTGGGGGGGGGTACCGGGGTGGCTTTGCCGGGGAAGGGGGACGACAGGGATCTACCCTTTCCAGGGAGGGGCTCTTTCGGGCCCAGGAGAGCCCCAACACGGGCCAAGAGGACCCCAATAGGCTCCGAAGACGGTCCCAGAGGGCCCCGAGTCGTCAAACGATCGGTCCAAGACGCCAAAGCTGGCCTCCATACCGCTCAAGGAGCTTCCAAGACAAAGCTTCCAAGAGGGCTCCCACGAGGGCCCCAAGAGGCAAACATGGAAAACGTACATGTCCTCTTGGGCTTTCACAGCGTCGACGACGGCCCAAGAGGCCGTCATGATCGCTCCAAGACGGGAGGCGCCCAAGATCGCCCAAGAGGGCCCCAAGAAGGCTCCAAAACGATCCAAAAAGCCCCAAACATGGCCCAAGAGGGCCCCAGGACGGGCCCAAGAGGGGCCCAGAGCGGGAACGAAAATGTCATTGCGAGCCTTCGACTCCAAGACGCCCCCAGGGACTTCAAGAAGCCTCCGAGAAGTCCCCAAGAGGCCCCAAGAGGCTCCCAAGAAGCGCCCGAAAGGCCCCCAGTAGGCCCCCAGTAGGCCGAATGAGGCTCATCATCATTAGTACGACGCCCACCCCCGTG